TTAGGCACGACAATTAGTTAATTAAATATGTACCAACAATTATCCAATTTACCACACAATATGCTCAAGACTTTAACTCAATAAACTTTACACATATAAGCCAAGTACATACTTGTCACCTCGCGTAAATGGTTTTCAATTACACAAATTGCACATAAGACTCAATGCCTAAGGGGTAATTCCCCCACTCGAGGTTAAGCAAGACACTTACCTTTTTGAAGTTAGGCCGATATTCCAAATTAATTTTGAAGTTATACAGAAAGTTATGATGGTTTGAATGAAGGCTGGTAGAGCAGTTTTGCCAGAAATTTCGATGTGTGAAGCCGATTTTGGAAGCTTATATCGCAAAATTCATAAGGAATCGGAAGATTTTCAAAACATGAAAGTTGTAGTCGTTTAATTCTAGTTTCCAGAAAGTAAAACCATTCATAATTTGGACATTTGTACATAAGGTTATGATCGATTGAAAGAAGGCTGGTAGAGCAGTTTCTGGTGGAGTTTTAGTGACGAAAAATGGACTTTTAGTGACGGAAAATGGACTTTTAGTAACGGAAAATGGACTTTTAGTGACGGAAAATGGACTTTTAGTAACGGAAAATGGACTTTTAGTGACAGATTGACAGAAACTTAAGGACCAAAAATGGTCATTTCATTCATTTCGTTTTGGATTTTTGGAGCACGGTTCTTGGGCGATTTTTTGGTGATTTTCACGAGAAATCATTGGGGTAAGTATTTCTTATCCTATATTGATTATATTTCATGATTCCATACTTATTTATATCATGAATCCGTGAATTTATGGAAGAAAAGTCAAGATTTTTGCAAAATCTTCCAAAAACGAAAATTTAAGATTTGGAGGTCGAGTTGTTATCGGAATTTGGTAAAATTAATTGCATAAATTAATTTTGAAGCTCAAATCGAAAATTCCGAAAAGCTCAAATCTATCCAAATTAATTGTATAACTTCATTAAAATTCATCGGAAATAATTCCGGATAATAATGCGTCGACATAAAATTTTAATCCAAAAAGTCAACAAAAGTCAACGCGAGGCTCGCCCCTCGAAACCCGACAAAATTTTCATGAAATCCGAACACCCATTCCGATACGAGTTCAACCATATCAATTTTATCGAATTCCAATATAATTCGACCTCCAAATCTTAATTTTTTGTTTTTAAATCCCTAAGTTCAACCCCCCGATTTACACCTCAAAAACATGTAATCTAATCGGATTATTCGATGATAATTCAATATTATGGAGTAGAAATGATCACAAGGAACTTACCTCAAGTTTTTCCGTGAAAACCTTGCTCAAAAATCGCCCAACCCGAGCTTGAAATGCCCAAAAATGGCAAAAGCTCGGAACCCCTCTGTTTTTTGTATTGCCCGGGGGTTTTCGCATCCGTGGTGATTTCTTCGCATCTGCAGTAAATTTTTCGCACATACGGCTTTCGCATCCACGGCCAATTTTTCGCACCCGCGGCCAATCTTTCGCACCCGCGGCCTTCGCATCCGCGGAAAATTTTTCGCACCCGCGGTGCCTGGCCAGCCCATGAATTTTCCGCTTCCGCAACTCATTTCTCGCATCCGCGAGCTCGCACATGCGGCCATTTTTCACGCAAGTTCGATCACACCAGCAGCCCAGCTGCTTCAGCTGCTTCAGCTCCTCCTCCAAATCCAAATTCAATCCGTTAAGCATCTGAAACTCACCCGAGGCCCTCGGGACCCCGTCCGAACATACCAACAAGTTCCATAACATAACACGGACCTACTCGAGGCCTCAAATCATATCAAACAACATCAAAATGACGAATCGCACCTCAAATCAAAATCTATGAACTTTGAACTTTCAAATTCTATATCTTGTGCCGAAACATATCAAATCAATCCGGAATGACTTCAAATTTTGCACACAAGTCATAAATGACATAACGAAGCTATTCAAATTTTTAGAATAATATTTCGACCCCGATATCAAAAAGTCAACCCCACCGGTCAAACTTTCCAAAAATTCAACTTTCGGCATTTCAAGCTTAATTCCACTCCAGACCTCCAAATAATTTTCCCGACACGCTCCTAAGTCCAAAATCACCATACGAAGCTATTTACATCATCAAAATTTCATTCCGAAGTCGTTTTCTCTAAAGTCAACTCTCCGATCAACTCTTTCCATTTAAGTTTCAAATTAAGGATTGTTCGTTTAATTTAATTCTGAATCTTCAGTAAATCAAACTCAACCACACCCGCAGGTCATAATACATATTGCAAAACTGCTCGAGACCTTAAGTCATTGAATGAGGTGTAAATTCTTAAAATGATAAGTTGGGTCGTTACAGTTTGTAGGATAGTTGTGTTTAAAAATATAAGGTCATTGGGCCTAGAATGTGTGCTATCGGATTTGATTACGGTATATTTGGGAGGATGACATTGAAAGTCGATTTAGAAAGTGATTATGGTTTGGGTTGGGGCGAGAGAGCTCCATGACTTGTTGATCTAAAAATTGGTTATGATATTCCACGTGTTTCTTTAAATATCAGCAGTGTACGAAGGTTTTGGAATGAGATTTGGCTTGATATAGGGTTTAATACTATTACCGGATTAGTTTGGAGTAGTTACTGTGATCGAAAATAGTGTTGCGAGCATGCGAGTTGTGTAGTATGTTACGTGATTATATATGGGGTTATGGTTATGGCTTGATAGAGATTGTTCATACTCATACAGTGTGTAGATGTGAGATCCGGGTCTTGAAATAAAATTCTAAATGTTGGAAATTGAATTCCAAGGTTTATGGGCTAAGGTTGAAGTAATGATCTTCAATTACGTGGTATTGTCAAGCCTATATGGAATAGGGTGGCGTGGGATCACCCCCGGGTATGTGCGTGGTAAGATGGAATAGTGATGTGATGGCTTGAAAACAACTCTTGGCACATTCGAGGACGAACATATGTTTAAGTGAGGGAGAATGTAATGACCCGGCCGGTCGTTTTGAGTATTTTAGATATGTTCCCCCATTTACTGCTCAATTTGTACTTTATAGTTATTGTGTGACTTGCCGGGGTAATTGGTTCGGGTTTGGTGAGGTTTTGGAATGAATTGGAACACTTAATTTCAAGGGTTAAAGCTTAGGTTAAAATAGTGACAAGATGTCGACTTATGCTTAAACGATCCCGGAACAGAGTTTTGATGATTCCAATAGCTCTGTATGGTAATTTTGGACTTTGGAGCGTGTCCAGAAAACTATTTGGAAGCCCGTAGCTAAATTAGGCTTGAAATGGCTACAATAGAAATTTAAGCTTGAAAATTTGACTGGGGAGTTGACTTTTTGATATCGGGGCCGGAATCCGATTCTGAAAATTTGAATACCTTAATTATGTCATTTATAACTCGTGTGCAAAATTTGAGTTCCGATCTTGATTTGATAGGTTTCGGCATTGAAGGTAGAAGTTGAAAATTGTTAGTTTTTCATTAGGCTTGAATTGGAGTGTGATTTGTGTTTTTGATATAATTTGAGGGCTCGACTAAGTTCGTATCATGTTTTAGGACTTGTTGGTACATTCGGACGGGGTCCCGAGTGGCTTTAATGAGTTCCGGGATGAGGTTTGAGCGAGTCCGGGCATTTCGACACTCTAACGATGTTATGGGACAGTTGAAGTGCGGAGGGAACATTTTAGAGTGCAGAAGTGCGGCCGCAAACTCCCAAAGTGCTGTAGCAGTAGGAATTGTGCGGACCACACTTGAAGATGTGCGGACAACAGTTGAAATTGTGCGGTCCGCAGAATTCTTCTCGCGGCCGCAGAAAGGTGATTTCACTGGTTCGCTGGTTCAACTTCGGAAGCTTATCACTTTTAATATACAAAGAATTTGGAGATGATTCGAAGACAACCATTGTAGCCCTTAGAATCTAGTTTCCAAAAAGGTTTAACACTAATCATTTGGATATTTTTACAGAAAGTTATGGGCATTTTACTAAAGCCTGGTAGTGCAGTCACTGTGAAGTGCGGCCGCACAATTTGGATTGCGGCCGCAGAACTTGGAAATGTGCGGTAGCACTTGAAAATGTGCGGCAACACTTGAAAATGTGCGGACCGTTCATTGGGAGATCAGTCGTGGTACTATAATTTATTATGTGGAGATTATCAAGGTAGTTGCTTGGCGTCCGCAGACTTTGACTCCCTTCCTTTTTAGTTATTGTACTGTTCTATATTTTCAGACAGTGATTTTATCAGTCAGACCTTGTATTCCTTTAGATGCTTATGTACTCAATGACATCAAATTTTGGGAGTGTTTATATATGTATTTGTGAGATTTCTTTCGCCGAATTTAAATATTATATTTTCAAACTTAAAAGATATGGTGGTTTATTGATATTGTCGGCTTACCTAGTATTGAGATAGGCCCATCACGACAGGTGAGATTTTGGGTCGTGACACTACTCCACCGAGATTAGTCTTGATACTTACTGGGTACCGACTATGGTGTACTCATACTACACTTTTGTATATTTTTGTGCAGAGCCAGGTATTAGAGATATCAGACTCAGATAAAGTTAGAGTGTGATCGCAAGGACTTAAGGTAGAGTTGTTTGGTCGTTGCAGTCCTTTGGAGTCTTTTCATTTTTATTATACTGTTAATTTCTTATTCGAACACTATTTTATATTTGATCCTCGAGATCATTCCATGTATTTAGTTAGAGTTCGTGACTCAGTATTATCAGTCTTGGGATGTTGTTTGAATATTTTCACTGTTAATGTTGACACTTGTTTTATAATTATATTTTAAAAATAAATATGTAATTGCCTTACTTAGTCTTAGATACTAAGTGTCATCACGACGCGTGTGGTGAAATTTTGGGTCGTGACAGGAATATTCTGCCAATAGATATGTAAAGTGAAATATGTTTGGTGCTGGAAAACTGAAAGTGGTGTTTCAACATTATAAATATGTACAATAACACTTTAGAACAACATATAAGAACATAGGATTTATATTAATTTCTAGAATAAAACCAAATGTATTTTGAAATTGCGCAAAAATGGAAGATACAAAGATAACTGTTAAAGCTAGATTAGATTGTCTAAATCAACTGATTAAATAAGTTCTATAATATGCTAAAACATTAAGTAACTGCAAAAACTCTTAGGAGTAGTATTCTTCAGGAAAGTTCATTCCTCACCTCACAATATGAGCCACCTACAACACTATCAAGCAGTTGCGTTGCAATCCTTGCTTGTTTATTCCCATATGAAATTCAATAAAATCCTATGTACACTTGGAGATCTTTCACTCGTTCGGTCCTGTCCATCTCCAAAATGAGAGAATAATGAGAGAATGCTCAAAAACTCAATTTTGAACCTTAGGATAAAATCACAAATTTCTTAATGAAAATACAAAATAATAATTAAAAAAAAATAGAGAAAACAGGACTCCCTAATTAATCACCATTTTGCTCTATCGTAGCTTAACTCTCACCACCGAGAACCTCTCCTTATTTCTCTTAATCTTCTTGAAGTTCAACGGCAACTCATTTTACCACCTAATTGACGACATTGTCGAAGCATTCATGGTCTTAGATATCACCACCAACTCCATTTTCGTCAATCGATAATTCAGCTCATCTTAAATTAAAATTCCTTTGGTTGGCATACATTTATTCACGGACTTATTACAGCGAGATATCTGTTTTTCAAATAGCTCTTAAAAAAGCAAACAAAAAAGCACCTTAGTCGACTTTAAGGAGCGCATTTTATTGTTTATTCTATTAACAATACAAAGGTAATCAAATGCAATACAAGGCCGCAACAAATTTATCGCAATATAAATATGTTAGGTTCTAAATTTACCATTCTTTTCATGTAAGAATTAACTAAAGACTATTCCTAGAAAAACTATCTGCCAATTTCAAAAATTAGAACTTCAAACTTTTCTGACGTACTAAAAACTTTGGAAAAATAATGATGTTTTACCGTCCAACTACTATTTAATATGATTGCTTATAGGAAGCTTGCTTAAATTCAAACTAATTCCTGAATCCAAGTAGCCTTCCCCTTTCAATTGCTGTTCTTCCAACTTCTGTAATCTAATTGAGGACTTACATGCAGTCCTATCACAGAAAGATAACTCACATGAAACTAGGTTCACTTCAATTCAATTCTTCATGGGTCCAAATATCTATCTTAACAACATTAGCGAGCACTTTTTAGTGATAAAGTTACAGTTCATACAACATATTTAGCCTCAGTGGTTGGTTGAGGCAGCTATTCCTATTCCTGTATAAATCACAACATCAAAAGTAACAAACTTTTGCAAAAGAGACTGCTAAATTCTACCGTGTTATACACCGGTTGTCGATGCATTTGATTCAAAGTTATTTGTAGCTATCTTATCCAATAAATTTCAGTTTAATAATGGTATTTTCTCCTGCAACATTTCATGACAGAATTTTAACCTTCGGTCAAAGTATTTGTTAGTGTGGGCGGTCAGTTTATAGCCTTCTCCTAAAGTTGCTAAATTGCTCTACGCAAACAACTAAGGTACTAATGAAAAAATACAAAATTAAAAGAAAAAAAAAAAGAGCCTCTTATCTTCACTGAAAGTGCAAAATACATTCTGGATGACTTCTTTATAATTCACTCACAAGATAAATGAGACATCAATTACATGATAAAGCATTTGCAATCTTAGAGATAAACACTCGCTTAATCCAACTGAAATAATTTAATGCAAGAAACAAAAACAAAAATTGAAACAAGCAGAAAAGAGAAGGGACAAAGACATCGTTAATATTCTTTTCGAAGTATTAGTGTTTCTAATTCAACTTTTTATAACATTGAAGAATTTTGTCAAACACCTAAACAACAAAAGCCATTGATATTCCTCAATAGAAATACATATAAAGATGGATCAAAGATATGGTAGAAGTGATACCCACTAAAAAATACGATCGATGGAAGAAAACACACTGCAAACTTAAGAACAAGAGGAGACAGAGAGCAGATGTTTTGGAGATGGCGTTAGAGACACAGAGTGTTACTTCTCCCGATAGTGTTAGATTGAGATGAAAAATCTATTGCCACACATTAAAATTAGAATTCCACGTGTTTAGCGCTATATAGAGAGCCAGGGATAGACTGAATATCTTTGAAATGATAAAAATATCCTCAGATTAAATTTTAATTCCAGGAAGCACACGTGTTGACCTTGAGGTGTCTGGTATTCCCTCTTATTAGTAAGTAAAATTTCAGGAAGCACACATGTTGAACTTGAGGTGCTTGCTATTCCCTCATATTAGTAAGTAGTAATAATAATATTTTCCCCTGTGTATCTCAGTACATTCACTTAAAAGCTAAGTTGTAACTATTAATCAACTAGAACAAAAAGAGAGTTCTTGGCATAAAGTAGCAAATTGGAGAAAAAACATAATTAGATAAAATTTTAGGAAAATTTCCACAAATGTATCAGCATTAGGTATTTTACACCCAATTGTCACGACCCCAAACCCTAACCTGTCGTGATGGCGCCTATCAATGGTACTAGGCAAGCCGGTTTTTCAAAATACTTCAAATGTTTCACAAAATACACCAAAAAGCTTGATATGACAGAGTTTTCATAAAACAGGAGTTAAACTCAAAATACAATGCTGAAAAATAGCCCTAAACATCGGGGTGTTACCAAGTCATGAGCATCTAAACAACCAGTTTAAGAAACAGTGTCTACAAGAGTTTGTGTCTAAATGCCAATACAGAAAAGAAGGATAACAAGAAAGGAGAGACAAGGATTGTGAATGCTGGCAGCTACCTCGTGAACCTCTGATACTCAACCACGCACGAGATCAACGTCCTCCATGATCGGGTATACCTGGATTTGCACATGAAGTGCAGGGTGTAGCGTGAGTACAACAAACTCAGTAAGTAACAAAAATAAATAAGGAACTAAGAAGGTAGTGACGAGCTATACAAATATAGTTCATTTCAGTAATTTCAACAATAAAAGTAGACGTGTTTCAATTCCGGCAATTTAAGTCAAGGCAGTTACACATTACCAAGTTCAGGAAAAATCGGATATAATATTTTCTAGAAGTTGCAGAACAATGACAAAAATCATCTAAGTGCAGCAACAAATGAAACAAGTGTAACCTCTCAGGGCAAGAGTCCCTCACACTCTCTCTCAATAGCTCAACACTCGGCTCCCATCCCTCAATACTCACACTCAATAGGTACTTGCGCTCACTGGGGGTGTACAGACTCCGGAGGGACTCCTACAGCCCAAGCACTATAATCCGCACGGACAACTCACGTGCTTTAGTATCAATATGTAGATCCGCACGTACAACTCACGTGCTATAGTATCAATACCTCACAGACAGGCCATCAGCCTCACTCAGGCATCAACCTCTCTAGTCTCACGACCCTCGGTAATAAAAGAGAATCAGCCCAAAACAGAATGATATAATGTATCGGCAGGGAATAACTGAGACTGAGGTATAATATGCAAGTAATACTACGATTGAGTACAAGTAATAATAAGCAGGAAGGTTCAACAGGTATCACGACCACTGGGGTCTTTACAGCACCAACACATAGCCTAAGCATGATTTCTAGCATGGTTCTCTATCAAAATTTCTATAACACAGAAAGGGCACATAGCTAACAACAAGCGTATTCAATTTTTCAGTTTCACGGAATGGACCAAGTCTCAATTCCCATGGTGCACGCCCACACGTCCGTCACCTAGCATGTGCGTCACCTCCAAAATACTCACATAATATAATAATCCGGAGTTTCATACCCTCAGGATCAGATTTAAAACTGTTACTTACCTTAAACCGCATAAATTCCTACTCTGAAATGCCTTTGCCCCTCGAATCAGTCTCCAAACACCCTGAATCAAGCCACAAGCAGTACGATATAATTAATATAGGTTAAAAGAATCAATTCCACAAGAAAAATATAAAATTATAAGTCAAAATACGAAATAGGCTCAAACCGTCCCCCGGGCCCACATCTCAAAATCCGACAAAAGTCACAAAATATGAACACCCACTCACTCACAAGCTCATTCGTACCAAAATTATCCAAATCTGATATCAAAATCCCAATCAAAACTAAAAATGTTATTTGAAGAACCTTCCAACTTTTCCCCAAATTTCTTAACAAAAATCCTTAATTAAATGATGAATTCAATTATAGATTAGTGGAATATAACCATAAATGAGTTAAGAATCATTACCTCAAAGTTCTCTCTGAAAAATACTTGAATTTTTGCCTCAATCCGAGCTCTCAAAGACCCAAATATTAAAATGAGATCAAACCCTCGAAATTTTCTCTTTTCTGCCTAGCGATCTCGCACCTCCGGACTTCTAGTCGCATCTGCGATGCCGCACTTGCGGAAATTCCATCGCAGGTGCAGAAATGGATTAAGGTGACTGGGACCGCTTCTGGGATCAGGTGGTCGCACCTGTGTGTGCGCACCTGCGTACAATGGTCTGCTTCTATGTTCTCCCCCTCCAGCTCACTCTCCGCATCTGCGGAACATCAAACGCATCTGAGGGCTTGAAGATACGGAAATTCCCTCACACCTGCGACCCCTGGCCATCTCCTCAACCCCGTTTCTGTGCTTGGCCTAGCGCACGTACGTGTCTGCACCTGTGGCCACCCAACGCAGATGCGATTACACCAGAAGTTTGAAAGCTTCAGCAATTACACAAGTCCAAATTTTGATCCATTAAGCATCTGAAACTCACCTGAGGCCCCCGGGACATCAACCAAACATACCAACCAGTCCTACAACACCATACGAACTTAGTCGAGTCCTCAAATCACATCAAATAATGCTAAAAATACGGATTACATCCGAATTCAAGCCTAATGAACTTCTAAACTTCTAAATTCCACAAACGACGCCGAAACCTACCATACCACGTCCGATTTACCTTAAATTTTGCACACAAGTCATATTCAACATTACGTACCTACTCTAACTTTCGGAATCGGAATCGGAATCCGACCCCGGTATCAAAAAGTCCACTTCCGATCAAAATCTCCAAAAATTTAACTTTCGCCATTTCAAGTCTAAATCAGCTACAGACCTCAAATTCACAGTCCGGACACGCTCCTAAGTCCAAAATCACCCAACGGAGCTAACGGAACTGACGGAACTCAATTCCAGAGTCGTCTTCACCCAGTTCCGACTATGGTCAAAATCCTGAGACTTAAGCTTCCGTTTTAGGGACTAAGTGTCTCAAATCACTCCGAAACCACAACAAAACTTTCCGGCAAGTCACATAAGCAGAAAAAGATAAGGGGGACGCGATAAATAGGGGATCGGGGCTAATACACTCAAAATGACCGGTCGGGTCTTTAAACCAATACAACTAATAATTATATTCTTAGCAAGAATTCTTTAAACCCTATACCTTAAATCATGCAATCAAAGAATTTCAGTTACACTGATTCTCTTAGATTAAGATGATTAACATCCTTAGAGTCCGACAATTGCATTATTCATAACGGCCATAATCATTTGTATTCTATAAATTCTATATATTATATAAAGAGATGAAAAGCAACTAATAGGAAGCAAACAATTGAAATATCTAGTTTATTTCTTCTGCCATGGATCAACCAATTCTCACACAATCTCTTCCTAATTTCTCGCATGAATATGACTTCCACCAAAACGTAATTTTTGGTAAATTACATATTTAATTAGCAATATTTAATATTATAAAAGGTATAATAATGAAATAATTTTCATTATATATTTATGGAATAATGATGTTAGACCAAAATGCTATTATTTTAGTACATTACTCGCCTTACATGTTGTTAGTTAAGTGGTTGATTGTGCGACGTTTGAGCTAAATTATGTTGTTTTATATGTAAGAGCATCGGAAGACAAAGCCGAGTAAAGGTTGCACAAAAAAAGGATGAAAATGCAAGAATGGAGCACAAAAATGCCAAGTACAGAAACTGTGCTACAGACCAGGCTTCGCGAGGTCTATAACCAGCTTGACCGCACTACAGACTAGGCTTCGCAAGGTCTATAGTCAGCTTGACCGCGCTACAGTATAGGCTTCACGAGGTCTATAGCTAGGTTGACCGCGCTATAAGCCTGGCTATCTGAGGTCTATAACCTGGTAATTAAAATTCGTGGGTTAAAAGTCTCCAACCTGGATTTGGACTCAAGTACTTTAACCCTATCCTATAAATACTCCCTAAACATGTCTAAGAGAGAGGAGGACATTTTTTTAGAGCAGATTCAACCAAAATGGTGGCGTTTTTGGAGAGGGGATTCGACCCAAGGAGGAAAGAACACGCTAGAAGCAAGGCGGAGAATTCTTCTACGAGTTTTTCACTTTCTTCTTCCTATTTCCATTATTGGTTATGAATTCTAATATTGTAGTTTTGCATACTATTATGAATAACTAATTTTTTATCTAGGGTTTTGATGAAACCTTTTGTAGCATAAATTCTTGTGATGTTTTTACATAATTGAGCCGTTGAATTTCTCTACTTGTTCAACTACGTGTTTATTGTTGTTGATTGAATGTCCATCAATTGGTTGTGCCTATTTAGTATGTATTGCTTGGAAAAGGGTACATAATTAGGTAGTTGTTGAACAACATCATTCCTAATGTATGTGAGGAATTAATACAAAGGGTTTAAAGGTGGGATTAGGAATAACGAAACATTGGTGCGATCTTAGTGAGCGGTGAATTAGTGCCAGCTAACGTAGTTTGGAAGAATATGTCTAGTAAATTATGGTAGTTAATCAGAGGAGAATTACGACACCCGAAGTACTCACAATCGGTAGAGACTACTTAAGAAAAATTATAGAAAACATAGCGGGAATGATTCTGACAATTAGAAAAATCACAACTCTAGACCTCCTTAGGCTTGTCTCTAATTTCATCCTTGTTAGTTGATAATTTTACTGCTTTATAATATTTGTTAGTTAATTAGTAGAAATAAAATCAAATCTTTGCAACTGGAAAATTATTTGAACTTGTGTTTCTTTGCGATATTGAACAACTGTAGCTAAGCCTTAGTTCTCTGTGGGATT